AAAATATTGACTAGATCTAGAATTTAGAGTCTTTTTATTTTCATTGTATGATTAATATGTTATAATTGTCTAGCCATGTTTATATTTAACATTAAAAAGGGAGAGTAAGACAGTAGCACAATGGTAAAACAGTGCTCTGAGAGGCATTCCCACATGGGAAAGTTCTGGATTCAGGGCTGGAGACCTACTTGAGTATCCTGGGCATATGGTTACCTATGATCTGGAGCTGGCTAAAGGCTGGGGATAGAACATGGCATCCAGATGCAGCTGGGAGTGCTTTCTCTCTGTTGTTCATGGAAGAAATAAAAGAAAATATGAACTTCAAAAAGAAAGAGATGGGGCCAGCAGGTGGTGGGGTTGGTAAGGTGCTGGATTCCTACATGACCGACCATGGTTTGAGTCCTGGACCAGTGACTTAAAAATAACACTGGGCACATGTGCAAATGTATCCAAAATCCCAGGAGAACAGAGAAGGGATTGTGGCATGGCCATTCCCCTCTTCAGGGGGATGAGGGGGGCTGATTTCTGTTTCCTTCTCTCTCTCTCTCTTTTTCTACCTTTCTCTGGTGAGCACACATGCCCCATGGCAAATAAATAAATAAATAAATAAATAAAATAAAATAAATTTAAAAATAAGAGACAGAGGGAAAAATAGGTGTTTAATATCAATAAAAGTTAAGACGCAAAGAAATAAAGGATCCCAAAGTTGTACTAACCCTTTAAAGAGACTAGTAAAAGTGCTGAGCTTGATTGTGCAAAGGCTGCAGATGGGGCTCTTACCTGAGCCAAGAGAGAAATGTGGTGTCCACAGAACTCAGAATGAATGTCTTTACTATAAAGGAAGATATATGTTTTACTATTACAGGAATAAAATGTAAAACACATGAATTTTGTAGTATCAGAATCCAAATAAAGACAAAACAATGTATTGCTCCAATGTGAACAGGGCCTTTCCTGCATCCATATGGGGTAAATTGAAATTACATGGAGTTACTTTCTTTGAAAATCATAACATGAAGTATGGTTCCCAAATTCTGCTGCAAATTGAAATCACCTGGGAGTTCATAAAAAATTCGGATAGCTGACTCCTGCGCTGACATTCTGATGTAAATGATAGGGATATACATTGGGCATCCATCTGTATGTACTCACTCAGCAGTGGGAGCTAAAGAGCTGGGTTCACAGAAGTATATAAGTGGTAAATAGAGTGGTGGACACCAGAACCTAGAAAGGGGAGGGGATGGGTGAGAGAGGGAGAGACTGGCTAACAGATACAAGCATGGAAGGATACCGTTGGAATGAGTTCTACAGCATTAGTGCACAGTAAACTATAGTTGGTGACAATTCCACGTATGTTTTATTTTTCTTTTCCATTTTGTTATTGCATTTTCTGGTTTAGATGTAATTGTACATCTTTCTGGGGCTCAGTACAGTTTTTTAAAAGTATGTTTACAGTGTGTAATAATCAGATCAAGGATAACTAGGCCCCCATCTCCCACCACTTAACAGCTATTATATATTAATTTAAAAAGGAAAATGAAAAAATTAAGGAGCTAAACATTGGTTCAGCTATAAAACAGGATACTCTGCAAGACAGACCCACACAGGAAGTTCCAGAGACTTCCCTAAGTATGGAAGGCATGTATATGACTATTATAGAGGCTTTCTGTGGCTGGAGGTGTATAGACGGGTCAAAATCTGTCAGGAGTGGTATATCTCTGTCTTTGTGTCTATCTGTCTCTTGCATTCACAAAATAGAGAAATATATAAATAAAAATATTAATTGTTAAAAAGTTTAAATGTAATCTAGTGGTTAAAGGAGTCAGATCTCACACGGCTGAATCACCATTTCAGTCCTGTCTGTAGTATCTTGTAAAACGTGTGTGTGTGTGTGTGTGTGGGGGGGGTGCATACATGCATGTTCCCGCATGTCCCAAATTCCAACAGGATGGAGAAATAAAGAAGAGATTGTGATGTGACTGTGCCGGATTAGAGTTGCTTTCTCTTTTTCTCTCTAGCAAGTACACACCTCCTTTAGGGAAAAAAATCCTTTAAAGTAGTCAATTCGATTGTCTTTTTAAAAATTATTTATTTAATTTAATTTATTATTATTATTATTATTATTATTTAATTTGCTATAGGGCATGTGCATTCATCAAAGAGAGATATAATGAGAGACAGAGGGAAAGTAAGAAAGAAAGCCACTAGGTCTGTGACCCAAACTGTGTTTGGCCATGTGAGAATCCAGCACCCCAACCACCATGCCACCTGATGGCTACTTCTCTTTTTGAATACTTAAGGCACAATAATAAATTTTATTACTTTATTCTTATTTTTAAACACATTCGCCATAGGGCATGTGCTCTTGTCGGAGAGATAGTGAGAGAGGAAGTGAGAAATAACCCACCAGGAGGGAAGGCATGTTGCATTCTCGTCTCCTCCATTCTTCTCCTGGGATTTTGAACAAACATGCACATGTTCCTGGAGTAAGTTTCAAACTGCCGGGTGTGAGACTTGAACTGTGGTTGGTCGTGAGGTAGTTGAGCACCTTATTATTTTATTTTGAATGAACTTAAAATTAAAAGAGCTACTTCCATATTGTTCTCCACAGTGACTGGATTAATTTACATTCCCACTAGAAGTATATGAGACTTCCTGCCGGTGTCCGGCCTCACTTCCCTTTTCACCACAGCCTTGCCACCACTTATCATTTTTGTTTTTATAATCTTATCTATTCTTGGGGCCAGCAGGTGGCATGGTGATTAATGGCACTGGACTCCTACCTGGCCAACTGCCATTCAAGTCCTAGACCTGGTGCCTTGTTTTCTCCCTTTCTCCCTCTTTTCTGGTTAAATTAAAATAAATAAATAAATAAATAAATAAATAAATAATCATAAATAAAGTTTAATAAAATAATTGTTCTTTAAAAAATCTTATCCATTCTGATTAGGGTTAGTGGTATCTCATTGTGGTTTTGATTTCAATCTCCCAATGAAGAGGGATGTTGAGCCCTTTTTCATATGCTTTTTGACTATTTGTACATTTTCCTTAGAGAGTTTGTTCAGCTTGTTTTCTCATACATGGAACCACCCCAAAATCCTATGAATAGATGAATGTATTGAAGAGTGTGACATATACACTCTATGGAATGCTACTCAGCCACTGGGGGGAAAAAAAAATTCAAGGCCTTGGCATTCGATAGAAAGTGGATGAATAGTAAATGTAGTATAGTAGTAAATGGAAGATTTACTACTGAGTGAAGCAAGTCAGGCTATGAAAGAGAAATATTGTATGTCTCCACTTAATATATACTGACTATCCAAAGTCTATGTTGGACAGTGGAATGTTAGGGTATATAGAAAAAATAGTTACTGGAGCTGATGTGGAAAGAGAGTGGGAGATAGGGGAGAGTGAGAGGAAGGGAATCAAGGAGCAAAAGAGAGAAGCTAGACATTTATGGAACACAGAAATGGATGATTATCTGTTGATGATAACATGTATGGTATCTTCAACTGGTCTGGTGTGAAGTATATTTATGTTGGCTAAATTCACTTTACAAGTTGTAGTGATGTATAGTGATTGAATGTATAAAATACATTTAAAAAATAATAAACTAAAACATTAAAAGAACAATTTGGATGAAAATAGTAGAATATCCGGTTTGTCTCTTTTCTTCTTCTCTTTTCTCCTTTTCATCTTTATGGAAACTTATTTTCTAGTAGCAAAGTAAAATGTGAAGAAAGGGAAAAAAATTGATGTGTATTTCACCACCATAGGTGCACTGATGAGCAGATAAAGTTTTATTAGGTCATGTTTCATTCAGCATGCTTTGCTCTATTCCTTCTTCAGTACAATGATTTCAGTAAAACTTATTTTGAAGTGAATCATTATAAAAGTCACTTTTTCAAAAAGCAAATATATACATCTTGAATATGGTAATTTTTAAGCACATAATAGTTCATTGGGTATTACTTAGATTTTGCACAAAACCGTATTCAAAAAGAAATGTAAATAATTTGTTCATTTTATAAGGAAAGATTCTTGAATTTTTTTCTTTTAGGGATATTTTGGCCTTACTGTGCAGTTAAGCTATAGAAGACATTGGCAGAATTTTGTATCCTCATGCTATGTGTTAATGATAATTTAATAAGATCATAAATAATACCTCGGAAAGTTAACCATTCTAGAACTTCAAGACTTATAGATTCCCAAAGATCCCAGTGAGTTGACTCACCAAGAAATGAAACTTTCTAGCTCTCTACACTTGTACAAGAATATTAGCTCTAATGCTATATAACACCATGACTAATATTGAGATCAATCAATTTCTAAATAAATATAAATCAGTCATTTGGTTTTTGCTTCTCACCTTAAATGGTTATAGGTTGGTTATCATATTGAAACCAACTGTTTAGAAACCATGGGCATCATGCTTTTACAAAAGCAAAGGCAATACCTGTATTTAATCAGAGGAGTCCACATCTGTAGAAATACAAATACAGTTTGTAAAATAAAGATTTGCTATAGTTTAGGGTGAAAATGTGCTTCATTTCTTTCATGTTGTATCAACCCTTAATCTATCTTATCTGTCATTTGGCATACATAACAAATATTACTGGTTGGCTCTCAGTTGCCCACATTCTAACATTCTAAGACTCACTCATGCAACAGTCTTGTCCTGTATGGATGCTTTCATTGAGACTTACTTGTAAAGCACAAAATCCAGTTGTATGTTAAGTAGGTGGGCTGCTAATCTTCAAGAATGCCATTCTTGATCAGGCCTTTATGAATTGTTTGTAAGTACCAAACTAGACAATGAGAGCTTTATATTCATTCTGCAATTAGCCAAAATAATTCTAGTTAAACTCTGGTAAAGATCTCTAGTATGAAATGAATGTAAAGTATTCATTCTTTATCTTTCTTCCTTGTTTCCTTCTCGTTCATGTATTTATTTTAAAATAACCCTCTAAAGTTGCTTTTCACTGCTTTTCATGTTGCAGATTGAAAATGTTGATGTCTGCCTTAGTTTTCTAGCAGCCAGAGGAGTAAATGTTCAAGGTCTATCGGCTGAAGGTAAGAAAAACCGTATTTATCACAAATGACATCCATGTTCCTAAAAGATGTTTCATAAGCTAAGAAATGTGATGACGTATGGAGCTCCTTAATACAGTAAAGGATAATGAAAAACTTTCCAAAGTACCAGATGCATAAATATAGCGGTTTATAATGTATAATTATTGAAATATTTTCCATGTTTTGCCAGAGCTGTTTTTTGCATTACTAAACATGTGGTGGTGGTGGTGGCGGGGAGGAGAGTGTATCAACAAAACATCTTCCGTTATTACTAGTGTATAGTAGTTCTAGATTCTTAAGTAGAAGTATTGATGATTAGATAAATATTGGATAATAGATTGGCATAAGGACAGATATAATAGTATAATTAATGCTCACTTTATCAGATATTTTAATAATATAATCAAGTTGTTGATGATAGCCATAATAAATGTCACCATGAGTTCTTAAACTATTCGTATTCACAATATTAATAGCTGTTATATGTAAATATTTTCAATCACTGAAATATTTTAAGACTGAAGGATAGCAAAGTAAGAAAATATTAAACTACCTTTGTCCTTTATTTTTACGTGAGTTTCTTTTTTATTCACACAGAAAGGTGGAAAAAGTTTGTGAAAATTTGTCAAACATAAGACAAACTTTGTTGTATGAAGGCACTTTAGAAAGTTTGTGGAAAATGTTATCAAAGCATGAGTTCATTTTGGTGTGAAAAAGTTGAAATCCCTACATAAATTTTTTTAAAATAATGGACATTTTCTGTGAACTTTTGAAAGATCTCCTGTTTTTAAGAAAACTAAATGATGTTTCTGTTTCTTTTCCCATCATCATCTGCCCTTCTCTTGAGCCATCTTTTCCTTCTTTTTTCTATTCATTTATCATTCTATATCTCAAACATAAGATTTATTAAAGTGTAGTAAGTAAGAAACTTTTTGCCTGTTTGGATTACTTAATGATAAAACTTTTAATAAGTAAGAAATTAGAATTTTCATATGCTCTTGGTAAGCCTTTATAAGATTTTTAAGTATTGTTAAAAAAAAATCCAGTGGCCGAGTTATGAAATAGAAAGTCTTTTGGAACTGTATCAACAATAGTAATTTCTAATTAGGATATCGATTGTATACAAAGTATTCTGTAGACACTGTTAAACACTTTCACAATTTAATTTCTATTATAATTATATTGCTTCAAGATGTCCCTTTGCCAATGAGTCTAGAAATATTAGATTTGATTTAGCTTTTAAAAATTTGTTGTCATTGGAAGAAGAGAAGTTGTGTGCTCTTGAAACACAATAAACAATAGTAGAAATATTTTTTTCAAATTTTTCCTATATTTAAATTTTATTTTAAATTTATTTTATATTTTAATGATATAGTATATAATTAATTTATACACTTAATGATGAAAAAGCTTACATTCAAATCTAACTGGTGGTTCTGTTAGTTAGAATAAAATTCTTCTGGATAATATTTTGCTTTCCAGTGGTGCAAGACAGGCTAGAATGACTAAATTTGTTTTATTTATTTATTTATTTATTCTAAATTAATTAAGCATGTGTAATAATAAAATAAAATAAATTAAAACTCTAAATAACGTCATTCCGATTCACAGCAGACAATTAGCACTTTTTTACTATGGCCTTAGACTGTTCAAGCCATCTCTTCTATATTACAAAACTGTGGGGAAGGTCTCTGTGATTAAAAAAAAAGAAATGATGTGCATTTTATATGAATAGTTTCACTGAATAATTAGAATGACATGATAAACAATTATAGAGTAGGAAATCCAATTTTTTAAAATGTTACTAAACTTCAAAAAGGCACATAAAACTTTGACGTCAGAGGAAGATGTGTTTTCTTAACAGCAGCAAGATTTATTCATACCATGATTGTAGGTTATGTAGCTTTATTTCAAGCTTGTCTTCTTTCTCTTTTCCTGTTATAAGAATAGGAGAAAAAAGCTAAGCTCCTATAGTCAACTTTGTGAATTTAATTTCTTTTATTCACGGGACCAGCAGTTAGCGTAATGGCTATGTCGCTGGACTCCCATGTAGTTGACTGTGGTTTGAGTCCTGGACCTGGTGGCTTAAACTCACGTTGTGTGTGTGTGTGTGTGTGTGTGTGCCCAAGATCCCAAGAGGAGAATGGAGGAGAAGGGACTGTGGCATGGCCATCCCCCCCAGGGGGTGATTTCTCGCTTTCTGACTCTCTTTCTCTCTCTGTCTTTCTGGTCAGTGTACACACCCTATAGCAAAAAAACCTCTATAGGAAAAAAAAGTTTCTTTTATTCACTATTGAAAAAATTGACATGGGAGTCCTTTTTATTTGAATTAAGATTTATGCTTATTCAGTTTACACTTATTCAGTTATATTATCTAATGTCACATACGCTGACCTTTATTACTATGTAATATGAATTAAAAATAAAATAATTGGGATATTAAAAATTGATATGATACACTCTTATTTTTTAAAGATATATATGTAAGTGTTATGCATATAGAACTTTGTATGTATGTGTATTTATGTATATATTTATGTATTTAGAAGGTATATGCATAAATCTGATAGGTCAGTGATTTAGAAGGAATGTTGACTGCCAGAAATTAAGTTGGAATTAGGAGGTACACCCACACTACAATATGGTAAATGCAGGGCAACCAAGATTTAAGTGACTTTCTTTCTCCAGTACATAGGCACTGTCATGCTGGTAACAGCTCTAACATTTGTAAGAGAAACCAAGAGCTAACTGAAATGATTAGCATGATAGGGAGAGCTCATCTATTTCCAAGAAACTAATCCTAGAAAAATTGCACTTCAGGGTCAACAAAAAACATTGCTTTTGAGTGAGTATTGTTCTCTCTATCCTCCAACCCTTCTTTCGCTCCCTGAAATTCCAAGCTATTAGGGAATGTTGACATGTTTGGGAAATTCAGATTGGTTTGACTCTGATTAGGAGAATCAAATTGTTCTCTTTTCATAGACTTAGTTTCAAAGGGTTACAAAATTGATTTTATGTGATACTGTTTTTATATTTTCCATTTGATACAGAAATAAGAAATGGAAACTTAAAAGCCATTCTAGGGCTGTTTTTCAGTTTGTCTCGCTACAAACAGCAGCAACACCATCAACAACAATACTACCAGTCCTTGGTGGAACTTCAGCAGCGAGTCACACACGCTTCCCCTCCATCGGAAGCCAGCCAGGCCAAAACTCAACAAGATATGCAGTCCAGGTAAGGAAGGAAAGTAGGAAATGGGCTTAAAATTAGTGTTTTAAAATACATTAACAAATTATGTTTACGAACTTGAAAAACATACTATGTAGTTGTATTAGTAGAATGGTATTATTTTATTTGTGTTACAGAAATTAAAGCCACTTGTTTTTAGCTGGAAAACAGCATCTATTTTAGTCCACATTTGTTTTCTAAAGATAATTGTTGTTCTGTATCAAAGTGTGTGAAATGTCTTTGGAGTATGTAATGTGGCATGACTACTTTCTTCAACAAATTTCTTCAGTTCTAAAATGTGCCATTTAGTCCTAGTCTCCTTGTGTAGTTACCTTTCATTGATGCTTTTGATTGATGAAATCTGTTAGAAATTTCAGCTACATTAAACATGTGAGTTGGAGCATTTGGGAACATACTGTTCTTGATGTGAGATTTTGTTTGTGTTTATTTATGTGCACAAACATATATGTGTTCGTCTGGCACAAGTAGACAAAGCCTGGGGTGGGGTACTCCCAAATCATTGCAATTTCTTTCCTTCTCCTATTATTGCTTCCCTTCCCTTCCCTTCCCTTCCCTTCCCTTCCCTTCCCTTCCCTTCCCTTCCCTTCCCTTCCCTTTCCTTTCCTTTCCTTTCCTTTTTCTAACCTGGAATTTTATCAGGCAATGTTCAACCAGAAAAGTAGAACCAATAAGATAATCATGATTAAGAGGTTTATTGTGAAGAATTGGTTTACAGGAGGATAGTGAGGACTGGCAAGCTAAGTCTGAAATCTGAAGGACTGCCCACCAGGAAAGGGAGAAGTTAAACCTTTCTTGTCTTGAGCTGACACTGTTATACAAGGTTCAACTTTCTTCCCTCAAAGAAGCCCTAGTGCAACTGTGCAAAGCTGTCAGCTGGTTAAATCAAATTCACCTATTATCAAAACAGCTAGGATAATCTCCTTTATTTAAAGTCAGTTGATGGGGCCAGCACATAGTGTAGGAGTTACATCAATGGACTCCCACATGGTCGACCACAGTTCAAGTCCTGGACCTAGTGCCTTGAAACTCATGCTGGGCATGTGTGTGCATGTGCCCAAGAACCCAGGAGGAGAATGTTGGAGATTTGTGGTATGGCCATCTCCTCTAGGGGGTGATTTCTCGTGTTCCCTCTCACTGTTTCCCTCTCACTGTCTCTGTCTCTCCTCTCTCTCTCTTCCTCTCTCTCTCTCCAGTGAATACACATGTCCTGAGGCAAAAACCTCTTAAAAAATAAATAATAAAGTCAACTCTTTATGAACTTTCATTACATCCTCCAGATATCTTCTGGGAACCTCTAGAAGAATGTTTGAATGACTGGGACTGCAGCATAGCCTTGTTGATAATCAAAGTATTGTAGAATACAATTTAAGTTAGAAAGTTTCATTTACACTCCTACATTTTTTTCCTGAACAGTGACTGGGATATGGGCTAATTAGCTCTACTGCATGAATAACTTTAATTATTTTTCTTAAGCATGGAGAATGTAAAAATACTCTTCATCTTTAAAAATATATATACACATGTCCAGCAAATGTAAATATTTAAGTTTGTCCATCTTAGCCAACCTTAAAACCTAATACTTAGGTTATCTTGAGTTTCTTTTTGGTAATTCGTATTGACTCAAACATTTAAATAAAATTCCAAAATATATTTGCAAAACACCTCCACTTCTATTAGTTGTTCAACTGTTAAGAAATCACATTCCCTATCATGTGTGGATCTTGTTTCTCATTACATATTAAACAGTATTAATTTCTGTAACTGTGAAAGTTCTATTCCTTTTGGTAGAGTTTTACTCATTGATGAATTTTTTTTTTTTTTAGAGGTTTTTGCTATAGGACACGTGCGCTTGCCAGACAGAGACAGAGTGACAGAAAGTGAGAAATCACCCCCCAGGGGGATGGTCACGCCACAGTCCCTTCTCCTCCATTTTCCTCTCGGGATCTTGGGCACACAAGCACATGTGCCTAGCATGAGTTTATGCCGCTGGGTCCAGGACTCAAATTGCAGTCTACTACACAGGAGTTCAGCAACATAGCCATTATGCTAACTGCTGGTCCCCACTGATGAATTTTTAAACCAGTAAAGAAATGTTTTGCTGAAAATGATACTGTGTAATATAAAGTCCATAGAATGATGTTGGGTATTTCTTATTACCCAACAATGCTATATCCTTCTGTCCCTGAAGCTCATCTTGTCTTTTGTTTGTCAAATATAGATGTGCAGAAGTCAAAGTAAAATAAATAAATAAATAAATAAAACTATATAATGTATATTACTAGGCTATCCATAAAATAGAAGAGAAAAGAGGGAACAATTTATTTATTTATTATTTTTTGTATATGGTTGGTTCATATAAAAAGACCTAGATTCTGGAAAGTGCCAGAAATAATATTCCCTAGAGTTTGGTATAAGCAATTTGAATGGACAAGAAGCAAGAATAGTAGTTAAAATAAATAAGTAAATAAATAAAAGAACTGAAGCGATTTTGTATGAAGCATGTTGACTCTGGCAGTGATAGGAAACATCGTTTGTCACTGCTTTACCTTACTCTATTTTTGCATCTGCCAAGTGAAATTTCTTGTCCAGAATTTCGTGTCCAGACATATTTTTTGTAGTTATGACCCTTTCAGAGAAATGTTTCTATTCCTATTCTATTGCTGAGTATCTGTGAATGTTATGAAACTGTAGGATATTTTTAAATATGAAGCCATATATAATGGCCATTTTTCTTGTTCCATTTTGGAGAGGGATGTCATTTTTTTTTTTTTTTTTGGAGAGGTTTTCGCTGTAGGGCACATTCGCTCGCCAGACAGACAGAGAGAGACATAGAGACAGAAAGTGAGAAATCACCCCCCAGGGGGGGTGGTCACGCCGCAATCCCTTCTCCTCCACTCTCCTCTCAGGATCTTGGGCATGCACACACACGCGCCCGGTGTGAGTTCTAAGCCACTGGATCTGGGATGCGAACTGCAGTCAACTACGAGGGAATCCAGTGACATAGCCATTATGCTAACTGCTGGTTCCTCATTTTTTTTATCGTAAGATTCTGAAAACTTTTTTTCTTTTTATTTATTTTTTTTGTTTATATGGATTTGGTATATTGAATTAGTATATGGATTAGAATTTATTTGACCTTACGTCTAACAATCAATATTTTTAATAATTTTTCAAAACCTCATAATAATAATATGGATAGGAAAGTGATATTGTGTCTGTGTGTTAAAACCAAAATAATTAATGCAAAAAATATCCGAGTGATATATTTATCTTCATTTGTTGAAGACTTGAGTCATAAATCATCTTAAAGATGCCAGTCTAGTGATTTCAAAGTTCTGCCCAACTATGTACTTTAAATGACAGATACTTTTTCTAAATATTTAAACAGAAAATGTTCTTATAGTTTTCTCTGTAGACTAATAAAAATATATCAGGCCACATTGTTTCAGTTCAGTGAAAGTGTTTTTTTATTTATTCTCTTCATTTAAAATAAGTTGGCATACCCTTTTGAAAAAACAATGTAATACACTGTAAAGTTATATATAATCCAATGTAATATAAAGAAGATTATGATGATAATAAAAAAAATAAAAAAATAAGTTGGCATAATTGTATATATTTTTACAATATTTTATACGTTAAGGTTTTTTTTTTTTATTTCGGAGATTTTTTGCTATAGGACACAGAGACAGAAAGTAAGAATTTACCCCCCAAGGGGATGGCCACAGCACAATCCCCTCTCCTCCATTCTCCTCTCAGGATCTCTGGCACATGTACCTGGTATGAGTTTTAACAGAGTAGAACTGCTGTTGACTCTATGGGTGTCCTGCAATGTAACCATTATGCATCTTCTGGGCCCACATTAGGGATTTTTAATTTGATTTTCTTATTTAGAAAATAACTCCAATTGTTTTCTATCCATTTTAACACCTTTTATTTAAACATAAATTTTGACATAAAGGTTTATAAGTAAAATATACAAGAGAAAAAACATGAATCAAGAGAAATAAAATGTCGGTAACAAACTCTCTTGTCTCTCAGCTTCCTCTCCACCTTGTGTGTATGTATTTATGAGTGTGTAGGTACTTGTGCAAACATGCAAGCATGAGTACATGTGGGTGTACAGGCATGCATGAGCGTGTGGATGTATGTCTATGTGTCCCATTCAAGTGGTACCTAGAGCTCCAATTATTAAGAGTGTGTCCTGGGACCAACAGTTGACATAATGGCTGAATCGCTGGACTCCCATGTAGTCGACTGTGGTTTGAGTCCTGGACTTGGTGACTTATACTCACGCCAGGCACATGTGTGTGTGTGCCCAAGATCCCAAGAGGAGAATAGCGGAGAAAGGATTGTGGTGTGGTCATCCCCTTGGGGGATATTTTCTCGCTTTCTGTCTCTTTGTCTCTCTCTTTCTGGTGAGCACATGTGCCCTATAGCAAAAAGCTCTCAAAAAAAATTTAAAAAGTACATGTCCCTATAATCAGACTACTAGAATTTACATCCCAATTCTACTACTTCATGGGAGTAAGATCTTGGGTGGCTTATCAAAGTTCTCTGTGCTTCAGTTTTTCCATTTGTTAAAAGGGAGCAAAAAATGGCACTGATAGGCCAATAGGTAGCATGGTGGTTAAGGTGCTGGACTCCACGTGACTGTCTATGGTTCAAGTCCCTGATCTGGTGGGTTGAACATCACACTGGACACATGTGTGTGCATGCCCAAAATCTCAGAAGGAGAACGAAGAAGAAGGGATTGTAGTATGGCCATCCTCCTTGGGACATGATTTCTCAGTTTCCCTCTCACTCTCTTTCTCTCTCTGGCAAGTGTACATACCTTATGGCAAAAACCTTAAAACTGAACTTATGAGGTAATTTTTGGGTCAAATGGGTTGGTACATGTAACATACTTTGACGATACTTGACACATGACACCTCTTGATTCTAAAGCCTGCAACTGTCTCAAATAGCCTAGGCTTGCTCCCATC